GGGGGGGGGGGGGGGGGGGGGGGCGGACGGAGAGCGCATGAAACGGGTATGGATAAATTATGGCCCGGTTTGTTTGTTCGTTTCCTACAATTAAAAATTATTTTTGAACTTGAAAATTGTCGCCGAGCCTCGCAGCGACACTCGCTCCGCTCCGTAAAGGTGTGCGATTGCGCGTCGCGCGTCGGCCCTGTGATCTAAAACCGCGTAACCCCCTCGAGATTTTAATTGCCCTCACGAGGTTCTTCCTGCGCGGTAGCGGCGTCCCATTTTTCACAACGAGCTCCAGTGTAATAAGTTTAATTAGAGCTTCTTATTGGGTGTGAAATGCAGCGCTTTTATAGTTCATCAATTTTATTCGCGCTTTCGCATCGTCAGTCAACATCACCTTCTCTCTGACCCCCCGTTCTTTTTTCTCGCCTCCCCCGTCCCCGGCCGGAACGGGGTCCCTTTGGTGCTCGACCGCAAACTATCCGTTATAAATTACTCCGCGTGACACTAATCCATCCCCTTTACTAATTACTCTCTCTTCTCGCTTTTTCGGGCGCCCTCCGAAATTTACCGTGAAGACGTGTTTGATGAGACGCCCGAAAGTTCTGCGCCGTGATCTAGTGGTCGTGTGCGACGATAGTGACAAATTTTATTCGCCGTCCCATTTTAATGAGACAAGTTGATGACGAGGAGATGAAAAATACTCGCCGAGTGCAACTTTGAGTCCCGTGCATGCTGGACTAACTCAAATTTATGCTGACTATTCTTCGCCTTATTTTCGTCTTTAAATCGTCCGGAAATTGAACATTTTCGTGATAATTCTCTGTGATTCAGATTCATTTTATTAGAGACATTTGATGTACTAAAAATCGTGATTCCCTCTAGGAAATCTGAAAGATTCAACTTTTAGTTATTTTTTACGAACCAATAAACATGCTTTCCGTACACCGAGAAAAAAATCTCGTGCCTGGGGCCCGAAGTTTAGGTCTTATGGATCCCTGAAGTTTTCAGATTGAGCATCTGAACACTTTAGGTCTAGCTGTCGAGGCTCGGATCACACATCTGAAACTTCAGTTCTTACATCTGAAGTACTTCAGATGTGAGAACCGAAGTTTTTCGGATGTGAGAACCGAAGTTTTTCGGGTGTGAAAACCGAAGTACTTCAGATGTAAGAACTGAAGTTTCAGATGTGTGATCCGAACCTCGACATCAGCTAGACCTGAAGTGTTCAGATGCTCAATCTGAAAGCTTCAGAGATCCATATGACCTAAACTTCGGTACCCACGCACGAGGTTTTTTTATCCGTGTATATTCCGAGCTTAGGAAAAAAACCGCCAGTGACCATTCAAACAAATCAAAAAAAAAATTCTCATTGAATATGATTTTTCTGAGGAATTCGGGAAATTTATTTTTTAAAAAAAATAAGTCATCCTTATATCTTAAAATTCATACAAGATATTTCGTCAGCAAAGAGGAAAAATCAAGGGAGTTTTCGAGGTATTAAGTTGACTCGTTTTCCATAGAAGAAAGATAGTATGACAGAGAGTCTGCAACGTCGCGAAAGGCGATAGGCGGTTTCGCACTTCATCAATCTTCATTCTCCCTGAATGAAAGAAATAGACTTTGAGTCAACTTTTCTCACGCAGATATCGACGGTGAAACTACCAAACCACGTATCTCGGTTTACGACGTCGCAGACTTCCTGTCATACTTTATTTTTTAAATGAAAAACTACTTAATGTCCACTCTTGAGAATTTCTGTGATTTTTCCTCTCCGTGCGAAGAAAATTCTGTGAAAAATTTCAAGGAATGATATTGATTTGGTCTATTTCAAAAAAATAAAATATGAGCGTAGATTTTTAAACACCGCAAACGAGATACGTGGTTTGGTAATTTCACCGTCGATATATATCAAGACCTTAGGTAATCGTCGCGGAAAAAACAAGCTTTTACACCCTCTCAGATTTTTCGATGGAATCATCGACTCCCCTTTCGCTAAACGCCGCCCACGTTCCGCATAAATTACTTAAAACACCGTTAGCGGTTCCCCCGCGAAAACCCTAATTTTAGAAGCGGCGGAAAAAACCGCCGGGGCCCATAAACACGATGTTACGGGATCCCGCGAGACGCCGGCCGTGGAAATTCGAATCACTATTTTAAACCGCGAACGAGGACGAGAACCAGGCTCGTTTGAAGATCACAGATCGCGCTGCGATGGCTCAAAAACCGCGTATCTACCCGCGATATCCCACCGGACTTACGCGGTTCTCGCCGAGCGTGAAAACCCGAGATTCGGGGCCGGGGGAAAAGGAACCGCGGCAGAGCAAAGACAGTCGCC